CCAGCCAGCCATGCTGGCTGGGGAATTCTGGGAGTTGAAGTCCACACATCTTCAAGTTGCCAAGGTTGAGAAACACTGCTCTTAGCCTGCCTGCCTGCCTGCCTGCCTGCCTGCCTGCCTGCCTTCCTTCCTTCCTTCCTTCCTTCCTTCCTTCCTTCCTTCCTTCCTTCCTTCCTTCCTTCCTTCCTTCCAACTTAGAAGGAATTTGATTCATAATCCGCAGGTATATTCCAGATAGGTGGAGCCATCGTGAGATTGTGGGAACCAGGTACTGTTTAGCCTTGACAAGAGAATATTTGGAAGGGGGGAGTTGTAACTATGACTCTTCAGTTCTTGCATGGATGTTACACAGAAGAAAAATCCAGACTTGCTCTGTGGCTTCACAGCATGAAGCAGATAGATTAATGAATATAAGTTAGAATGATCAGAGTTCTTTGCCGGTAGAAGCCAGTAGTTCAAAAGATGGTGGCCTCTCATCACTGGAGGTGTTCAGGCAAAGGCTGGACAGATGGCCATCTGTCATGGATGCTTTAATTTGGGTTTTTGCACTAAGAAGAAGATGGGACTCAGTGGCCTACATGACCTGTTGTAGATCTACAATTCCATAATCTTATTGCTTGTTTACTCTGTAGGTGTTACTCCAGTGGGGGTGGAGGTTCTTCAAAGTAGGTGCAAATGAGGATGAGGATGGTGAGGAGGATGATAGCTACAGCTTTCTCCAATTCTTATAGGACCAAGGAACTTATGAAGCAGCATGACTTCTTGCTGGGAATTTAGGTAGCTCCACAAAGCTAGAGAAAGCTAGGGGAAACCTGTGCTTCCAGTAAATGTAACCAATATGTTTGGGAGCATTTCCTTTGGAAAGTTATGGTTAGGGTTAGGTCAAGGCAGCCCTATTCCTTTCCTGTCCAGACACTGCTCCAGGAACCTAACCGCATCTCACGATTACATTGGTTTGTGGACTAACTAGCATGGGGGCCAGAGGAAGCAGTTGTAGAAGTGGCCGGCGTAACTCTAGGAAGACCATTCTGCCCCACGTGTGCTCACTGGATCTGAGGCATAGAAGGTGCTTTTATTTTATATTTTCTTTTATTAATTTTTCTTTTATATTTTCTTTTCTTTGGTTTAAAAAAAAACAAGGTGAAAAACAATATTTAGTCTTTTATTTATTTTAAGTATAGGGTTTCGCTGAGGCTGGGAATTAACTTACTGCTTGGGAAATTGGTGGGAAATTCTAAATACTGCCGTATTTTTCAAATTATCCTTTGCAGGCAGTGCTAGCCTTAGCTGCGTCTTGGACTTCGCGACAAGTTGGGGACCGTACCTTAACAGGCACAGTTATTGACAGCGGCGATGGGGTGACCCATGTCATTCCAGTGGTAAGTACGATATAGGCTTATGTTTTCTGTTTCAGGGGCACAGCTTATTGCAACAGAGGGTATTGTCAGAAAACGACAGACACGGGTTCGGTTGTCCAGTAGACAGAAGTTTTTATTGGG